TGCTTAGATTTTCGTGATCTAGGGAAGGGTCCTGGGCCAGTGTGTGCGGACACCAAGGATAACTTTGTATTTAGGTACTCGCGACAGCGTGGGCAAAGAGCGAGGCCAGCAGTGCGGTGCACTGGCGCAGATCACACCACTAGGGCTTTTCGCTAAGTATTTGTTTTGCTGTTTTTCCACAACTGACATTTCATCTAAACTCCAGGCATGTATTTCACTGTGATATATCACGAATCCATAGCGGAGGCACTGGCCCACAGTGAAGGCTGTCTCCCTGTTGGTGCAGTACAGGGTGGTCCTGATAAAGATGCTGAGCAGAGTCTTCGAGGACAGTGTTTCCAGTCACATCCTCACAGCTGGGCATCTCTGGATTTGCCACCATCTGGACTTACAATCACGACCTTGGCCTTGGACTCTCTCAGCTGCCTGTGGCTTTGCTTCTGCCTGTCCACGGGGTGCACAATGAGGCCTGGGCACATCAGAGGTAACGTGGAGGTGAAGGCGACTTGCAGTACCGAGTAGAGAGTGTGAGGGATGGGGACAGCAAAAGTGGAAACCAGGGTTAGTATTGGAGATAAAATCAGCCTTCCAACCCTCTGAGGAAGACCTGGCAGCCACATCCAGCATAGGTATTCAGAACACAAGTAGGGCAGCGAGCTAGCCCTCGCACCATACCATGGAGTGCCTGTTGACTTCCTCCTTGAAACATCCCAGATAGCTTCAGACACCCACTGTGGCAGAAGTGGGGGGACTGACATCAGGGAGCGAAGATGGTTCCCCACAGGTCTGGAAGGCTCTTGCCAATATGTGAGAAAGTGCAATTTATAAGACGAAGGGTCAAAAGCTTCTTCTACCACACAGCAAAAATAAAGAGGGGAGGTTGGCTGCACACTAACTGAGTTAGAAAGTAACTGAGCTGTGTGTTCCGATGTGGACTGTATGCTGTTATCCCAAGACTACTTCAGGAGATCGGGGGTGGCTCCAAGAATCTGGATTTATAACACATAGCTCAGTGTGTTATAGCCCAACTCGTTCTGCAGCTGGAGAAGCACTGGAACAATGGAAAGAATTGCGGAATAGGGGTCTGCACGTGTGGCTGAGCGTGCGCTTTACCAACCTTGGCCAAGTGACGGACAGAAAGGCTAAGCAGCAATGATGCTAGAAAGACTCATAGATCCCTCACTTAAAGTGCTATCTATACTTATGACTAGTTTTGTTAAAGGGGTAAGGCCCAGGAATAGCTCAATGCCTCCACAGGGCAAGGCGCAATGGTTCCAGATATGGCGATTCCACGGCTGCACCTGGCACTTCCATACACCTGCCAAGCAGGAAAGGCAACCAAGCCTTAGCATCCAAAGTTTTGACAGGGGTCTCATTTAATAGGATTGAGCCATTATGTGGTTGTGATTAAATCAACTTTTATCCTCCCCTTCATCCCCCAAAGTCATTCTGATAAAGTGTTAATCCTCTAGTCATGAGGTTGGCATTTCTGGTGACCAGCAGGTGTTCTGAATTTTTCTGGGGGTCAACAATGAGTCACCTCCTATGCATAAAAAGGCACATCATTTCATTCTCAGAATTCCAAAATATCTGGGGATCATGCCAGGAACCTGGGGCAAAGAGAGCTGTATTCTTTGTTATGCTGTATCTATTTAACATGTTATATTTCTAGTTGTTGATCCAACCTTACATTCCATACACGTATCATACATATGCATGAGATTTAACTTGCTAAAAATTCTTTAAGGGTTTTGCTCAGTTTTTTGGCATCTACATTTATGTGAGTTTTGTCTAGCTTTTAGTATCATTATCTAGTTTTATTCTGAGATTAACAATGACTTCACAAAATTAGTGGGGAAATGCACCACTTCTATTTTATGTCTTGTAAGAATTTAATAGGATATACATTACTTCATTAATGTCTATCCTACTGCATATCCCAACATCTGACTACTTCCTAGAGTCATTAGTGAAGCCACCTTGATCTGAAGACTTTGGCAAAGAGATTTCTTACATTCAGACTCATATTAATAGCTTGGAAACACTCCGTTAAGCAGAATAGACTTTTCAGGTTTCCGTTCGTTCTTTTGGTGTGTGTTGCCTTTTAAAGACAGGGTTTCACTCTGCAGTTCAGGCTGGCCTTGAACTCACTTTGTAGCCCAGGCTGGCCTCAAACTCACAGCAATTCTCCTGCCTCAGACTCTCAAGTGCTGGATTATAGGCACGTGCCACTACTCCTGACCATCTATTTGTGAATGAGCCCCATTAATAGCTATTTTAAATGGATTTTTCTTCTCCAAATTTTTATTAAGAAAAAAGTTGTTGAATCACAACTGTCTTTGTATGTATCAAAGATATTTTAATATTTTATCATGTTTCCTTGGTCACATTTGCAATATATGGGTTCTCTTTTTATCTGATTTGGTTGGAGGTATATTGAGTTTGCTGATTTATTGAAGGTATTTACTTTGGTGGCTCACTGATTTTCAAGATAAAAGAAAAGCTAAGCATGGTAGTACATGCTTGTTATCCTGGCACCAAAGAAAAAAGAAAAGCCAAATAAAAGGACAAAGTACATTGGATTCTCATTATGCAAACAAATGATGTGAGATGAATGTACAGGTTGCTGTGAAAATAAACTCTCAGGCCTAAGAACAAGTGTGGAGAACGCAGTAGAGCCCAAAGTTGTAAGCTAAGAAGGCACTTGGGTGGTTGGGAGTGTGCAGAAATGGGATGGAGAAACTTCAGAGGCTTCACAAGGACATCTTCAGTAATTCAATACAGTGCTAACTGGTATCTACATATGCGGAATCAACAGAAGACAAGTAGAAACTCAACTAAAGGATTACATTTAACAGTCTTCAAAACTTATTCGGAGACCACAAGAGTTCCAGGCCCAGCCAGCTTGTAAGGAAAACCTCTTAATTCAGAAGCTATCATGAAGAGGATGTATAATGCTTATGCCATAATAGTGGATAGGGAATTAGGCTTAACACAAATCCTGCAATAGTTGCATGAAAGATCTTTAGACACCCAACTGTTATATTGTTTCCTAGGAACTGAACGATATAACAGAAGAAAAACTATTTACAGAAATGCAAAAAAATTTCCATTCTCCAAAAAAGAAAAATTATAAAGCAGATTTTTAAAGCAAGGAATATCACTGTAAAGAGAGTGATTCTCAATATAATTAATAAGAAGGTGATTAATGATAGAAATCAACTCAAATAGACTTAGCAGAAAATGTTTATTCACTTAATACAATGACTTCAAAGTACATAAGAAAAAGTTAAATCTACTTTTATATTCAAAGATGTCAAGCATTCTCTTCAAATAATTGATAGAAACAGTCCAAACACAGAAATTGAGGTCACAGAAAATTTACACAACATAATTAGCCACTGCAACCTCTGGCATTTGTATAACTTTTCACTGAACAGGTAACAGGACACATTCCTGTCAAGTCAATTTGCAATGCTTGCCAAGGCCAATAAAGCAAGTCCCAATGAATGTAAATACTTCAGCACATAAAGCATACTCTGCAGTGGACTTAAATTGGAAGTCCTTAGAAAATTAAGCACTCAAATATTTGCAAACTAAATAACATTTCTAAAGACAGCCAAATATCAGAGAAAAAAAATGAGATATAAACTGAAAACAATTTTAAACCTAACTAAAATGAAAAGAGAATTTTTATGTTTTATTTTTATTATTTTTTGTACTGGGGTTCGAACTCAGGATTTAGCACTTGCCAGGCAGGCACTTATGCTGTTGAGCTATCTCCCCAGCTCTAAAATGAAAACATAATGTATCTAATTTTGTGGTAGGCAACTAACATAGTTCTTAAAGGACAAAAGAGCATGATGCAGTCACCTTAGGAAAGAAAGGTTTCAAATGAGGAACTGCATGCTAAAGACAGTGAGAGAAAGGAAATTCAGCAGAAGCAGAAGCAGAAACAGAAGAAAAAGCAAAAAGTCAAACTAGGTATGTGGGATACATCTGCAATCCCAGCCCTCGGGGGGAAGCCTGAGCTACATAAATGAGTTCAAGGTGGGTCTGCAGTACATGACGAGACCCTGCCTAAAACAAACAAACGTCAAAAAAGTAATACTATATAGACATTAACGGTATCAGGGGCTGAGTGTGGTGGCACAGGCTTGTAACCCTAGAACTTGGGAGGCTGAGGCAGGAAACTGCTGCAAGCTTGAGGCCAGTTTGGGCCATACGATGAGTCCAAGTCCAGCCTCAATTACACAATGAGACCCTGTCTCAAAAAACTAAACCAAACAAACTCAATCCAAACCAATATTAGGAATAAAAGTGGGCAACAGTACAGCTTCTACATATTCCTAGTAATAAAGAAATATTTTCAAAATATAAATACTTAAAATATACAAACTTGCTAAAAGACAATTTATCAAAACTCCTATTAGGGAATATATATTGTGCAACTTTTAAAGTTTTTAAAACTTTCTTAGGTTTAGAAAGATACTTTGCACCTGAAATGTGTATATTTATGTTCATATATTCAAAACCTATATAGTCTTTGACCCACCATGGACATTAAACTTGTACTTAAAAAGTTCCCAGAAAAACAAACTTATACACTCTCACTGGCAAATTCTTCCAAACATTTAAGGAAGAAATACCAACTTTTCCATAAATTCAGGGCTAAGAAGTATCTCTCAATTTGGAAAAGATAACATTATGCAGACTATCAAAACCAAACCAGTATTAGACAATTATTCATCTCCCCCATGAATACAGATGCAAATATAGTTAAAGAGAAAACAGAAAACAAGTCAAACTCAACACTTACTAGGAAAAGTTACTAAAAAAAAGAATACATCATTACCAAATGGACATTTCCTCTGAAATTCAAGATTCGTGTAACACTGGAAATTCAGTCAATTTAACCTGCCATTAAGAATAAAGGACTCAGGAGGCTGAGTCAGAAGGACTGTTTTCAATTCAAGGCCAGTCTATGCTACATAGTGAGTTCAAGGCCAGACTGAACTACATAGCGAGACCCTGTCTTAAAAATAAAAACTGTGAAGAGAAACACATAGTGCTATAGTTATTAGTATCTAAGAAAAAACCCCCATTACTTCTTGGCCTTTTGGCTAAGTGAAAACGTCCCCTCAGTTCCTACCTTATCATCTCACCTTCATGCAGTTCCCTTCTGCCCGTCACCAGAATGAGTCCACGTCACTTACAGAAGGTATCAGAAGTGCTGCATAGCAGGTCCAGGTTAAGCTACAGCACAGACCATGGCTTGGCTCCTCTGTGAGTTCTCTCTAGGTCACCTGTTTTGGAACTAATTATCTTCAGTGGAATACTAACAAAAAGAGCAAACTGCTGAGACACAGAACAGTACAGATAAGTCAAAGTTAATTATGCAGACTACAAATCAGTTAATTTGAGTGCATATCGCATTATTCCATATGTATAAAATCAAGGGGCAGTAAATTGGTGGTTGATTGGAGAAAGGAGACTTTATGAAGGCAATTGGGTAACTTTCGGTTTCACTAGTGTAAAATGTGCATTCATTATGAAACTATGCACTACTAAGTGAAATTTATTGCAGAAAATAGACAATACAGTTCTGCAAGTTCTTAGTTTTCTGTAAACTCTTAAAACAAAGCCACAGAGATAAAACACATGTTGATAACTTCAATTTATTGTGGCAAGGTCTAGGTATGTTGCCCAGGCTGTTCTGAATTTCTGCGCTCAAGGAATCTTTGTTTTAGCCTCCTGAGTAGCTGGACTACATGGGTTTCCAACCATGCTCAGCTACTAGGGATTCACTCTTAGAAGGGACAGATTCCCTGTAGTATGCTGTAGCCTCCAACTCCCTATCAGTGTTCCTGTACTAATTATAACTTTGACTGGGACCAGGGATATTGCCAACCAGGGACAGACTTCAGGGCCTAAAGGGTCACGTTCTCAAATGAACTTAGCAATATGAAATACACTCTGAAAACAACAAATCCAATTCAATCTGTCTCTAGACACATTGGATTGTCTAACAAATGCCCAGTGACCAGGGTGACCTTGCCCATAGAAGTAATTTTGTCACAGACTCAAAGAGTTGGTCTATGAGAATCAGTACCCTTTCTCAGAAGCACTTATGCAGCAATGCACATTGGGCTGACCCTGGATGAGAGCTGTTCTGGGCCATCCTGTCACCTATGAGACACGCACAGCTATCACTCTCACAAAGCTGTTTATCCCTCCATGCTTATGGAACCCAATTCTGTCTCGCACTCCACCCACAAAGCGAAAAGCACCTCATGGTTACAGAGTACAATTAAGGCATTTGTCTCAACACCAGAACAAGACAAAGCAGGTAGTTTTGAATTAGGTGCCTTGGGGGTTAGACATCCTGTCATGAGTGCTACATGAGACCAGCAATGTCCTGAAGAAAGGAAATGGGCAGAGCTCACAGAATCTTCTTGGCCCAAACTGGATGACATCCACACTTAAATCAACTTGGGTAGGGCAGTAAGGAATGAAAGTCTTTGATGGACTCAGGCTTCTAATGATTTCCTTCAAGGAAAAGAGGAGCACTGAGACTTGCCTTTTAAATCACTGACGTACACAAGGCAGGATAGTGCTAGTGCAATAAAAGTGACTTCTGTCAGAGGCAATGGCAGTGGTAGAATTTTGGCAAGGAACCTAGGTTAGAAAATGCAACATGGCCCTAGGAAGCTTCCCATGTAGCTGGCACTCAAGATCTCAGCGTGGGTGTTCAGATGCACGAGGCTCCGTATCTGGCTGATAGTCAGTGCACAAGACGAGTGATCTTTACTCTGGTGTCACTCATTATGGTGAGCAAAGACATGGAGCAGTTCCTGCCAACCTAAGGCTTTTCTCCAGTGTGAACTTTCCAGTGCCGGACAAGAGAGGCCCTTTGCCTGAAGGCTTTCCCACATTCACTGCACTTGTATGGTCTTTCTCCAGTGTGAATCCTATGGTGCTGAACAAGTACATGTTTGTGGCTAAAGGCTTTTCCACATTCACTGCAGACATATGGCTTTTCACCATTGTGAACCCTATGGTGTGCAATAAGATCAGAACTTTGGCTGAAGAACTTCCCACATGCAATGCATTCATAAGGTCTTGTTCCAGTGTGAACACTCCAATGTTTAATGAGCCTATATTTGTGACCAAAGTACTTCCCACATTCACTGCATTCATAAGGCTTTTCTCCAGTGTGTACACTCTCATGCTGAACAAGGGTGGATTTGTGGCTGTAGGCTTTCCCACACTCATTGCACTTATATGGCCTTGCTCCAGTGTGGACTCTCTGATGTACAATTAGGTTAGAACTATGATTAAACACCTTTCCACAAATGCCACACTCATAAGGCATTTCACCAGTGTGGATCCTCTGGTGCTGAGCAAGTATAGGTTTGCGGCTAAAGGTTTTCCCACATTCACTACACTCATAAGGCCTTTCTCCAGTATGGACTCTCTGGTGCTGAACAAGTGAGTCTTTGCGGCTGAAGGCTTTCCCACATTCATTGCATTTGTACTGCCTTAAAGCATTGTAAAAGGCATGTTCCCTTGTGCTACTGCCACGTAGGTGTTGGAAAATGCTTGAGCTGCTTGGTGAGTCCTTAAAGCTGTCCCCAGTAGTAAAAGGCATTGGTGAGGGCTGGACAGAATAGTGGTTCTGAAGAATAGTCCTGCTTTCTGACCTCTTAAAGGACTTCTCTTCATCATGCTGCTTCTGGTACCGGTGAAGGTTTGCAGGGAACTGGAACTGCTTCCCATATACTGCACTCATGTATGGAATCTGCCCAGCATGTGCTAACTGGTGCTCAGCCAAGTGTAAAATGTCTTTTAATACAAGGCCACACATCTCACAGGAATGAGCCTTTTGGGTAGGACTTCCCCTAGGGGTCCAGGTCTGTGACACTCCTTTTATAGAAATGCTCTGCTCACAAGGTATCTCTGTATCCTGCACTCCACGCCAATGCCCTGCAAGCAGAAAAACGCCAGTAAGGTGCATAATGAGTGTAGCGGGGTATAGCCTCACTACAAATGAGTTTCTAACATAATTAACATAAAAAGTGACAGGAAGTCAGGGAGGGGCCTAAGCTTAAGTGAAGCATGCTGGGGACAGGTGACAGATGCACAGAGGAGTCATATTTGTGCTGAAGAATATTAAGCTGCTACTAGGTAACTAATGTTTAAGGGTCATGCTGGGTATGTGCATATCAAACAACATGCTGGTGCAGGCCAGCACAAGCCCAAATAAAAGATCTTATGTTGCACCTCAATCTCCTAGAAAAAGAAGAGCAAGTCAAGACCAAAGCCCAAGAAGGCAGGAAATTATAAAGATTAGAGCAGAAATTAATGCACTGGAGACAAAGAAAACAAAACAAAGAATGAATAAATCAGAGAGTTGGTTCTTTGAAAGAATAAATAAAATTGATAAATCCCTAGCCAGCCTAATCAAAAAAAGGAAAGAAAAAACTCAAATTCCTGCAACGAAGAATGAAAAGGGCAAAACCATTACAGACCCTAGAGAAATTCAGAAGATCAATACCTACTTCCAAAATCTGTCACAAGAAGTTTCCTAGACATATATGAAATGCAAAGCTGAGTCAAGACGATATATAGACTCTCAATAGCCCAATAACAAGAAATGAAATAAAAAATGTAATAAAAAAAACTACCAACACATAAAAGTCCAGACCCAATGGATTGAGAGCAGAATCCTACAAGAAATTTACTTTTTATTTTATTTATTTATTTATTTTTGGGGGCCGGGAAGATGGTTCAACGGAATAAGCACTTCCCTGGCAAGCTCAAGGGTCTGAGTTCAATCCCCAGTTCTGCCAAAAAAAGAAAAAAAAAAGAAAAGAAAGCAAAGCTTTATATATTTATTTATTTTTTGCAGAACCAGGGATTGAACTTAGGCCCTTGCACTTGCCAGACAAGCACTTATTCTACTGAACTATCTCCCTAGCCCCTCCTACCAGAAACTTAGAGAAGATTTAATGCTACCTTTTCTCAAAGTCTTCAATGAAGTTGAAAGGCAAGCAATTCTCCCAAACTCAATCCTGGAGGCAAGTATTACTCTGATTGCAAAACCAGAGAAAGATTCAACTAAAAAAAACTATAGGCCAATCTCTCTAATGAATATAAATTTAAAAAATCCTCAATAAAATACTAGCAAACAGAATACAGCAAATCATCAGAAGATGATACATCACAACCAAGCAGGATTCATCCCAGGAAAGCAGGGATGGTTCAACTGATGCAAATCCATAAATGTCATACACCACAACAATAGAACCAGGAACAAAAACCACATAATCATCTCAATACATGCAGAAAAAGCTTCTGACAAAGTCTAACATTTGTTCATGATAAAAACTCTAGAGAGAATGAAAATAGATGGTCTATATCTCAACTTGATTAAAGCCATCTATGAGAAACCAACAGCTAACATCATACTAAATAGGCAAAAACTGAAGGCCTTCGCTTTAAAATCAGGAACAAGACAAGGATGTGTCCACAGTCTCCTATTCAATATAATTCTGGAAACATCAGCCCGAGTAATTACACAAGAAAGAAATAAAAGGAATAGAGGTTGAAAAATAAACAGTGAAATCATTATTTCCAGATGACATGATACTCTACCTAGAGGACCCCAAAAACTCCAAGAGTCTTATAGATTTAATCACCAAATTCAGCAACATAGCAGGATACAAAATCAACACCCAAATATCAGCATGTTTGTATACAGAAGGATTTTTTTTTTTTTTTTTTTTTTGCCCACTCAGGATGCCTTAAGGGCAGGTCTGGTAAGGCAGGAGGATCAGGGTATCAAACCACAGAAACCTGAGCCTTACTGCTTTGCTTTAAGCAGGCAATTAAACAACTGAGAGGCTCCCAGCATTTTTTGTATACGAACAATGAACACACTAAGAGAGAAACTAGGGAAACCATGCTTTTCACAAAAACATCTAAAACCCTGAAATACTCAGGAATCAATCTCACAAAGAATGTAAAAGAGTTACACAGTGAAAATTACTCTACTTTGAAAAAAAAAGATTGAAGAGGATTGGAGAAAATGGAAAAATATTCCATGCTCCTGGATAGGAAGAACCAACACTGTGAAAATGGCCATACTCCCAAAATTGTTATACAGATTCAATGCAATTCCAATTAAAATATCATTAATATAAATCACAGAGCTAGAGAAAACTTTCCTCAAATTCACGCGGAACCAGAAGAAACTCAGAATACCAAAAGCAATCCTAGGAAACAAAGGAAAGGCAGGAGGTATCACACTCTCTGATCTGAAAATATACTATAAAGCTACTATGATAAAATCAGTATGGTACTGACATAGAGACAGACCTGAGGATCAATGGAACAGATTAGATGATGCAGACACAACTGCAAACACACTCAACCACCTTATCTTTGATAAAGGGGCCAAATGATAGCCTCTTTAATAAATTATGCTGGAAAACTGGCTTTCCACATGCTGAAGGCTAAAACTAGATCCATCCAAGTCACCATGTGCAAAGCTACAGGCAAAATGGATCAAAGATTTAAGTATTAAAACAGAAACACTAACTCTTCTGGAGGAAAATGTAGATACAAATCTTAAAGACATAGAGGTAGGTAGAGTTCATGAACAAAAACCAAACAGCAAGGGAAATACTTCAAAGAATCAACAACTGGGATCTCATCTTTTTGAATAGTTTCTGTACTTCAAAGCAAATCAAAGAATAAAAAGAAAATCCACAAACTGGGAAAAAAATTATAGCTGACTGTCCCTCCCACAAAAGCTTTCTATCTAGAACATACAAAGAATTAAAAAAAATTAGCTCCCCAACACAAATTCAAAGGCCCAATCAAAAAATGGGTTTCTGAGATGTAATACAAAGGACAAGTAAATATATGAAAATATGTTCAACATCATTGGTCATTTGAGAAGTACAAATTAAAACAATAGTGAGATTCGATCTCACTCCAGAAAAAATGGCTTACATCAAGAAGCCTACCAATAAAAAATGCTGGAGAGAATGTAGACATAAGAAAACACTTCTCACTGTTGGTGGGAGTGAAGTCTGGTATAATCACTATAGAACTCAGTGTGAAGATTCCTTGTAAAGGTAGGATAGGAGATCTCCTTCAAGCCAGCTGTTCCCCTCCTGGGTATTTTTCCAGACCTGAAAAGCTCATACCACAGCAATAATGTGCGCCCGTGTTTACAGAAGTGCAATTTGTCACAGCTAAATCCTGGAAACAACCCAGACACCCATTAACTGAAGGATGGGTAAAGATGGGGTATTTTTACACAATAGAGTATTATGAAGCTGTAAAACAGAATAAATTTAAGTCTTTTGCTGGTAAATGGATGCAACTAGAGAACATACTCTTAAGCGAAATAAATTAGACCTGCACGTGCAAACATACTGTCTCCTTAGTGTAAGAACCTGAAAGAGAAAAGTGGAATATAAAGGGTACAATAAATACTGGGAAAGGGGAATAAACTTGTTCAAAAGTAAAGAGTTACTGAGTTGAGAAGGACAGGAACAGGAGTGGGGGAGATTTATCTATGCACGTAAACTGATGGTTTGGACAACTGTACTGTGCATTTGTGCTAGTCAATGCAAAGGAACAGATAATAATTTGTTTTGTCTCCTTTTCCATTGTTTATATTTTTTGTCCTAATTTCTTCTACATTTATTTCTTCCAATTTTACATGCATATATCTATTAATACGAGTAACTGGTTAGAAGACAACACTTTGCATTAAAACAAGTACTGTGAAATTCACATTACTTTGTTAAGTGAAATTCTTCATCATGTGTAATTTTTGTTTTAATTTAAATTTGTACTCTCTTTAAAAAATGAAAAAAAATTAAAAAAAAAAAAAAAAGGAGAACTGAAGGAACAGCTGAAATGTAGAGGGAGAGACACAGACAACTTAAGAGGCCCAGGTCAGTGCACAAAAGATGAAGACATGAAATGTGGCTGATGGCCTTGACATTGAAACAACAATGGGCACAGAGGTTATGGAAGGATATCTCTCCAATAATGACTAGAGTCATGTGCACCCAGTCAAGTCCTCAGGGCCCTCTGATCAACTCCAGGGAAGCAACTGCATGGGACATTGAAGATGAATATCCTGAGGAATACACAATGGACAAATGGCTAGCACACAGGCAAAAACTGAATATTGTAAAATAATCTCACGGGACGATTAGCTCATTGCTTCTAGCAAGTTGTGACCAAACTTGTCACTGCAACTTTTGAGCACAGGTCAGACACAAGAAATGTGAGCAAGGGGAGAGTCTGAGTCACACAAGTGTCATGGACACAGATGGAGACACCTAGTGAAGGAGAAGACAAGATGGATCTGACCCACTGGGCCGATTCTAAGACACCTGAATCCCAGATGAACCATTTGGGACTACCCAAAAGAAGGAAACAGCAGGGCACATTGAAGCCCGTCATCCACAGTACTTCCAGGAACCTGGAGATGGTGGTAGTGCCAGCGGCTCTGATGTAGGAAGGACATGGCTGTCCTGGAGGAAAGGGAAGGCAGAGCTCAGTGGAGGACACTAGGGTAGATATGAGGGCCTTACCAACTGAGGCGGCAAGAGCAAAGTTCTCCAGCATCACATCCCGGTACAGGAACCTCTGAGCTTCATCAAGGAGTTCCCACTCTTCCTGGGAGAAACCCACGAACACATCCTCAAAGTTCACCTGTCCCTGCCACAGGAGGGAAAGCCAAGTCCATGAGCAACTTCTCTCCTAAGGATCCCATCCATGCCCCCCACTTACCTCCCTCCCTACTCCTCAACTCAGGAAATAAGAGGGCTAGGCCACACCAGCACCTACTCTTTCCTTACAAGTATATTACTCATTCTGTCTATGTATAGTAACAACAAGCAGGTGGGCAGGAGAGGACCATTTAAGCTCTGGGAATGGCCCTAACTTCTGCCAGCTAATTCCTCTGGGGATGCTAAGATTATGCTAACTCATCAACCAAACTTGGGCTTACCTTGCTCTGGTAAGCCTGGGGTGAAGGCCCAGGGCCTATCAGTCTACACTGCTGCCCACGAGCGTTTCACTCTTTGGATTCATACCTCTCCTGCAACTCTTTACCTCCACCTAGTTGGTAGCTTCCATCCTCATATTTCTAGCTTACTAATTGCATTACCACTGTGATGTAATTCTGCACCTGACTCTCAGCCTTTGTGTCATCTTCTATATTTTGTCTTTACCCTGAACCCCTGTGTATAGTAACTCCAGTCCTGTTTGTCCACCAGTCTGCTTAATACTTCCACTCAAAGTGTCCTCTGGAACCTCTTAAGCTTCACACGGCCATAAATAAAATCCTGATATCTACAATAATGATACCCCTAATACAAACCTGCCTATCTCAGATATGGAGCACCTATCCTTCTCACTGATAAGTCCAAAAACCTTGGTCTCTCTGTTTTTCTGTCTCACATTAGAAAATTCATCCCTATCACTTCTATCTACACAACCACCCCTCTGGCCCATCTGTTATCACTATTCACCTGGAATAATGTAGTTACCTTTCTCTCTGGTCTCCTTGCCCTCACCATACCTCAACAAGCTTTTATTAAACCCAGTCAGCTCTCAGATTGGCATCCAGAGGAGGGAGGCTAATCAGGGTGTAAAGCTGGCTATGGTGCCACATGCCTATAATCCTAGCACTCAGGAAGCTGAGACAGGAGGATGGAGGATCACTGGAAGTTCAAAGTCAGCCTGGGCCACAAAGTGAGTTCAAGGCTATCCTGAACTCAATATCAAGACCATCTCAAAAGATTTAAAGAAAAAAAACAAAACAAAAAACTGGGCTAGTTTACCTCCCATCTCTGCTCCACATTTCCTGATACCCTTGGAATAGAGGTCCTGCTCCTTTGCCAGCCATTTCAGGCCTGACTTCTGCCTCTCTGCCGTTGGTTCCCAACAGGCAGAGCAGAGGCCTACACCTTCTTCAAGGCCTTTTTTTGGGGGGTGGGAGGGGGTAGGAGGGGGTGTCTAGGGTTGTGCCGTGTAGTTCCAGATGGACCTGGACTCACTATGTAGTCCAAGCTAGCCTTGCATTAATCCTTCTGTTTCAGCCTCCCGACCGCTGGGATTACAGGTGTGTACACCTTGTCTGCAAGACACGCAGTTACTTTACAACTCCCACCTCAATGTTACCTCAAATATTTGCTAATGTTGCCTCACGTACTGAGAACAACTTTCCAGCCTTGTCCCAGAGTTTGGTAGAAATGGGGTTTCACCCTACACCCCCTTAGTCTGGGCCAGAACCCTGAGCCGGGGAATTACTCTACGGTCTTCAGATTCAAGAAATACAAAAAGCATCAGGAAACTGTTCTTTATGTTATCCCGGCCCTGGGGTCCACATAGCTGAGGGTGGGCTTGCAGAGACCACTGAACTTCTTCCCTCACCTGTTTCTGGGCCATAATTAGTTCTGAGTTCACAGGAACCTGTGGAGAGAGGGAGACTGTGAGAAGCAAGAAAGCCCAAGGGCTCCGGCCTATTCCCGTTCCACTCCGCCACAACGTGACCCGGACCTCACCGACTCCCTGTCTTCACGGTCGCCCCTGAACGACGTCACCCGGCACTAGTGCGAGCGCGCCCTCCGCACCTTCTGCACAGCCACACCGCCCCTTCCGGGGCAGCCGGGCGCTCCCTAACCCCAGCCTGCGTCTCGCCCCGTCAGGGCTCCTCGGGTTGGAGGTCCGGCCGCCCGGGCCCGCAGTACTCCAGCGGGGTCCCGCCGCGGCGCTCACGCAAGCCGGGCCCCCGCGGCGCCAAGCGCCTCGCCGCCACACCCGGGTTCGGGCAGCGGCGGGGCGGGCCCGGCGCACCCACCTGCGCGACGTCCACCGGCGCGGCCACCGCCATGGCCGCCGAGGAGCCGGGGAGCGCTCGCACCGCGTCGGGCCGCGCCCCGCCGAGTCCGGGCCGGCCTCTGTGGGGACGGCGCGGCCTCCGCTCTCGTTTTTCCTTTCCTGTCACCACAGGCCTGCGGAGGCGCTCGGACGACTAACCTATTAACGGAAGAGAAAGCAACATGTCGGCGGGCGCAGGAACAGGAAGTCCCGCCCCACTGCCTCCCCGGCGACGGAAGTGACCCTTTCTTGGGTCCTGATTGGCTCCAGCCTCGGGCCCCGGCCACGGGGTCTCCGGGGCCGCGCGGTGAGACGCCGAGGATGGTGCGTGGTTGCGCGGGCGACCTTTGGAATGTCGGCCCGGCCACTCGGCTGGAAGTGGGCGTCTGGGTGGAGCTCGGTTACAGCTGACTGAGCTGCGACTATCTGCTGAGTGTAGTCCTTGATTACAGAAGCGCTTACAGTCCTGTTAGCTCAGGCGAATGCAGGGTGGGGGCGGGCCGGGGCGGGAAGGGAAGGGAAGGGACGTGGCGACGCGGGCTTCCGCGGCCGGAAGCTGTGATAAAGCTAGTAGTGCTCTGTACGTTGATTTTAAAACTCTAGAGCTAAGTTTTCAGAGCCTCAGCACTTTGGGTCAGGCACAAGACAATAAAGATTCCATGGCAATGACGTGAGTTAGGGATGTTTGGTGGCCTGCAAGCTGATTTGTAATTCTCATGGTTCTGTTTACCTCAGAAAATATTTCTCCCACGTACCTGTGATTGTGCCAAACCCAGAGAGTAATACTTCTTAGCGAGATATTCTGCACTCTATATACACAGATGTATGCAGTAACTTAGTATTTTACAAACATCTGAGATGATTGACTTACCAAATGTCATCAGGCAGTGGAAAGAACATGAGTTTTGGACAGAAGAAATAGCTGTCAACTAAATTGCTATATATACCCAAACTGTCTCTTCTTTTTTTTTTCTTTGCGGAACCGGGGATTGAACTCAGGTCCTTATGCTTGCCAGGCATGTGCTTATTTTACTGAGCTATCTCCTCGGCTCCCACTCTTTTTTTCCCCAAACTGTCTCTTATGAAAGTGTGATAGACTGAGGACAAAAAAGATAAATGTAATGGAAATACATTTACACATAATATTAATGACAGTGTAATACCAAATGACAAAGAGTGTTGATTCAGGAACGTGCAGTGACATAAGATAAGGGATGGAAATGTTCATCTTTTGATTGATACAACTACTTACTGTGCTATGAAACATAAATATGTATCCTTATGGTGTAACACCAGTGGAGCCCTATGAATAACCAGCAAACAGTAACTTGAGACTAATTGCTCAATGTTTTAAATCTTTTTATATTTCCAAGTAGAAAGTAAACATATTTACAACCTATACTCTTGTTGTAGTCAGACGTTTAAAGGGAATAGATTTAATACAGGATGTATAATTTTAGAATTATTTATAATATTCACCAAAAAATTCAAATATGAAAGAATGAAGGAAATCTGTCTACACACTTGAGACCCAAAGAAACCAGTTGAGGGCCTAGATCCCAGGACAATATCCTGCATGAATCCAACTGGAGGTACAGAGCCCCCAATGATGTCTTATGCAAGTCAGTATCAAGGATCTGCACTGAGAAGGTCCAAAGGTCAGTGTTGAGAGCTGGAAAGTATGCCAGTGGGATTAAAGATCAATGCCAGCAGGCTGAAGGATCTGCACTGGATCCAAGAAGTGACCCTGAAAGTCAGGACCAGAGTTCCCACAGAGAGAACCTTAGCTATCCCATCCTCAGTGACAGCAAGGACCTGAGCTTCTCTGATGATGAGAACAGTTGAATTCACTCAGGAAATCCAGCATGACAAACTTCTCCTGGAGGACCAACAGTACACCATCTTCCCCTCTAGTTTTCTTCTGATGCTGTTGGCAGTAATCCTCAGGTGGGTCATCCGTACCCCACACCACACTGATGTAGTTCAACAGGGTGTTGCAAGTTGACCATTAGTTTATCCACAACCCTAATTGTTTTTATAATGTTAGCTTACATATAACTAATAAATAGAATCAGCATCCTATACATCAGCATGATCTATCAAAAATACAGTATGAACTCGAAATGAGTCATGTCGCAAGAGCAAATATTTCAGAAAGCACAACTTCTGAAGAAAAAAATATCTGTGATCACAATAAGTAGATATGTCTAGATACAACATCAAAAGTTAGACTAATAGAAAAGTTGATACTTTTGACTTTCTCTAAATTGAGATCCTATGTGTGTCAAAAGAATCTTTGAGTACAGTGACAGGGAAGCCAAACACTGAGCAAAAGTATTTTCCAGTCCACATCCTGGGTGAAGACTTGTGCAAAGACTGTATTAGTGAATCTCAAAATTCAAGACTGTGATAGTAGCTCAAAAATTGTTAAAGATTTGAGCTGATAATTTCACAGAGTAAACTAGTTGCAAATGAGCATGATTTTGCTCAACGTCATTAGTCCTTAGGAAAATGAAGATTGAAGGTAGTATGAGCTATCACTGCATGCCAGTAGGTTGGCTAAAATGAAAGATATTGATTGTACCGCTACTGATGTTAGGCAGGAAGTTAGGCATTAGTGAGTCTGAAGACAAGGCATCTGGTGGCTACTTGAAAATCAAGGATGTGGGTCTCTTGCTGCAGCAACGCGAGTGGGAGCACCAGGAGCTCGGGCTCGGAGCGAAACACTTTTGGATTGTTTTAAGAAAATGGCAGACAAACCAGACATGAGGGAAATCGCCAGCTTCGATAAGGCCAAGCTGAAGAAGACGGAGACGCAGGAGAAGAACACCCTGCCGACCAAAGAGACCATTGAGCAGCAAAAGCGGAGTGAGATTTCCTAAGAGCCCAGACAATTCCCCGCCCCCGTCATCTCCGAGACCCCCCAGTCATGATGTGGAGGAAGAGCCACTTGCAAGACGGACACGAGCCACAAGCTGCACTGTGAACCCGGGCACTCTGCGCCGATGCCACCGGCCTGTGGGTCTCTGAGGGGACCCCCCCAATCGGACTGCCAAATTCTCCGGTTTGCCTTGGGATATTATAGAAAATTATTTGTATGTTAAATGAAAATAAAACACATCTTGTGGCAAAAAAAAAAAAAAAAAAAATCAAGGATGTGATCCCCCTTTGGGGGCTGGGGAGATGGCTCAGTAGAATAAGCACTTCTCTGGCAAGCGCAAGGGCCTGAGTTCAATCCCGGGTTCAAAAAAAAGACAAACAAAACATACACATAATTCTTGTATTTCATGTAACCAATCACGTGCCATCAGCTTTGTACTAATCCTGCTGCAAACCGTATTTACACTGAACTCAAGCCTGACTCTGCCTGGTGGCGTGAGCCTGTGGGCTCTACAGTGCAGTAGTGTAATGGAAGCTTCCTTGTAACTCCTCAGTGCACAGTCTCCCTTCTGGACTGATACTGGATTTTCTGCTTCCTTTCGCCATTCTCTCTCCTCTTTTGTCCTCCTTCCTGTTACTCCAAAGGCCCAGTATTTTTTCTTCCTGCATCTCTGACATTGCTCTAACTTTTTGAACCATATTTTAAACGTGATTCTCACCTATAGCTACATCCTTCTCATTTTCTCATCTCAATTCAATTATTATTCTATGAAAGTTACCCCCATCCAGGCTGTAGTAAGGAGCACTGTCTCCTCAGTCTCAGTTTAAACATTGAACTCCTTCAAAGCTCAATTCAACTGGTGTTCCTCCACACCTTCCCCCTTCCTACTCCTCATTGATTCTATTTTGTGATTTCAATGAGATAAGTAAATTTATTATATAGATAATTTCTCCTAAACGAAGTGACTAGTCTTTTCTTTCCTCACTGTGATCGATTGAATATGAAATATCTCCTAAAGACTCTTGCATTAGAAACTTGATCTCCAGTGTTGCGACGTTCACAGATGGTGCTTTGGGGACGTGATGGAATCGTAAGGGCGCTGGACTTGAGAATTAATGCACTGATGGCTCTGTGATTTGATAGGCTGTTTGCAGATGATGGAGGTGTGGGATGTGGGGCCCAGTTGAGCTGGGTGAATCATGGGGGCATGGCTTTGGGGCCTGTACCCGTCCCTGCCCCTTCCTCCTTCTCTCTGTGGCTCCTGCTGCTGAGAGGTGGCCAGCTCTTCTCCAGCATGCACTTTTACCATGATGCCTCAGCTTTGCCACAGGCCTGAAAGCAATGGAGCCTGCCAACCACGGACGACGCCTCTGAAGCCATGAACCAAAGCGTCTTTCCTCCTTACAAGCTGTGTATGTCGAGGATTTTGTCAAAGCAATGGTGCTGAGAACCACTGGGGATCTTGATGAGCCCGGGAAAATCAGTGAGAAAATTTAGAGACAAAGACAGAGGAAAACTGAGGTCAGGTGGGAGCCTTATCTCTGGAGAGAAGGAAGAGCCCAAGGACTGTAGAGCCTTTATTTTTACATTCAGAAAGTAGAAAACTGGCTGTTGTTTTTCCCACACTATGGGTTGTATTTTCATTTTGTCAGTGATTTTTTTTTTTGTACTGGGAATCAAACTTATAACTTCATGCTTGCTGCACAGATGTTGTCCCACTCAGCTAAATTGCAGGCCCTGCTGGCGATCTCTTCTTGTTGTGCAAAAGCTTTCTAATAAGCTGAGATCCCATTTGTTGATTATCTGTAGTATTTCCATACAGTCTGGGCCTTATTCATGAGTTTTCTCCCCACACCTATGTCTTCAACATTTCTACATATTTTCTCCTCCAGTAGCTTTAGTGCTTCTGTTTTAATATTTAGATCTTTGATCTATTTTGATGTTAGTTTGCTGCAAGGTGATAGAGATGGGCCTAGTTTTAATCTTCAGCATGCAGAAAGCTAGTTTTTCCAGCACCATTTATTAAAAACAGGTGATCTTTTTTCTAGTGAACATGTTTGGCCTCTTTGTCAAAGATAAGGTGGATCAGTGTGTTTGGGGATGTGTCTTTATCTTCTCATCTGTTCCACTGATCCTTGGTTTTTTCCCCCTGATACCATATTGATTTA